TAATATTTAGGAGATAAAAATTTGATAAAAATAAAAAATAATATTTAGGTGACAAAAATCTGATAAAAACAAAAAATAATATTTAAAATAATATTTAGGGGATACAAATATGATAAAATTCAAAAATAATGTTTAAAATAATATTAAGGAGATAAAAATTTGATACAAATTGAAAAAAAATTACAAATATGACATTAGGGTTTCTTAGGGTTGCCCTAGCGTTTCTTTCTTTTATATATAAGATATCTAGGAGAATTTGATGAAAATCGATAATAATATATAAAATAATATTTAGGAGGAAAAAATTTGATAAAAAAATCCAAAAATAATATTTAGGAGAAAAAATCGAAAATAAAATTTAAAATAATAGTTAGGAGATAAAAATTTGATAAAAAATCGAAAATAATATTTCAAATAATGTTAATGAGATGAAAGTTGATAAAATATGAAAATAATAATTAGAATAATATTTAGGAGATAAAATATGATTAAAATTAAAATTATTATTTAAAATAATATTTAGGAGATAAAAATTTGATAAAAATCAAAAATAATATTTTGGAGACAATAATCTGATAAAAAACGAAAATAATATTTAGGAGATAAAAAACTAATAAAAACATGATAAAACTCGAAAAAAATATTTAAAATATTATTTAGGAGATATAAATTTGATAAAATTCGAAAATAATATTTAGGAGATAAAAATCTGCTAAAAGTTGAAAATTATATTTAAAATTATAGTTAGGACTTAGGAGATATAAATTTGATTAAATTAAAAAAATATTATTTATAATAATATTTAGGAGATAAAAATTTGATAAAAATAAAAAATAATATTTAGGTGACAAAAATCTGATAAACACAAAAAATAATATTTAAAATAATATTTAGGGGATACAAATATGATAAAATTCAAAAATAATGTTTAAAAAAATATTAAGGAGATAAAAATTTGATAAAAATTGAAAAAAAATTACAAATATGACATTAGGGTTTCTTAGGGTTGCCCTAGCGTTTCTTTCTTTTATATATAAGATTAGTAGTCATATTACTATTAATAATAGTATTCTTATTAGTACTAATATGAATATTAATATTAATATCAGTATAAGTATACGTATCAGTATTAACCAGTATTAGTATTGGTATCAGTACTTACCATTATCAATTTAAGTATGAGTATCAACATCAGTATCAATTTCAGTATCAGTTTCAGTATTAGTATCAGTATCAGTATCAGTATCAGTATCAATATCAATATTAGTATTATCAGTATCAGTATCAGTATCAGTATCAATATCAATATTAGTATTAGTATCAGTATTATTAGTATTAGTATCAACATCGCTATCAATATCAGTATCAATATTAATATGAGTATCAGTATTAATATTAGATTTAATATCAATATGACTATCAACATCAGTATCAGTATCAGTATCAACATCAGTGTCAGTGTCAGTATCAGTATCAATTTCAATATCAATATCAGTATTTGCATCAGTATCAGTATCATTATCAATATCAGTATCAGTATCAGTATCAGTATCAGTATCAGTAAGTATCAGTATAGCTTGTTTATTTATCTACTCTAATAGAATTTTCCTCAAGAGTAGAAATTTTTACCTTCAACACCTTGTTTTCCTCTATTAGAACATGCTTATCCTTTTGAAGACATTTATTTACCTCAGATACTTCGAGCCACTTCTGGTACATTTTTTCATATGTATTTTTAATCTCTTCTAGGGTGGGCTCTTCATCATCACTACTGCTCTCAAAGTTACCTGCAAAAATAAATGATGAAGTCGGACTCTTCACTAGGCCAAAACAGCTCACTTGCGACGTTTTTTTTGGCGACGATTCCGGAATCGTCGCTAGTTTGCGACCATTTTGACTAAAAAACGTCGCAAGATATCGGAAGATAAGATTTCGATGGAATATCTCGCGACGATAAAACTAATCGTCGCAACCTTTGCGACTAATGTCACTAAATCGTCGCAAATGGAAAAAAAAATAATAAAGCACTCTCGTAGCGACGTTTTTATATAACCGACGCACGAAAAATATTTTTTGCAATTTATTTTTTTTACCTTCGCGACGAATATGACGTATACGTCGCTAGTGCAATTGTGAAAAAAAAAATTTATTGGGTTGGCGACGAATAAGGATAAACGTAGCGTAATAAAGAGGAAATATTAAATTATATTTATTCGTAGCGACGAAAATAGTGTATTCGTCGCAAGAAAAATACTTTGTTAAAAGAATTATAATTATTATTTGCGACGATAGTGTATTAATCGTCGCCAAAATAATTATAGAAACAATCTCGCTTTCCTATAGCGACGTTTCCTACAGAAACGTCGCAAGGCTTTTTTTTTTGGTTTGCGACGAAAGACCTTAAAACGTCGCTATGAGATTCGTTTAAATCTGACTTGGCGACGATTTGTTAGGAATCGTCGCAACAAATTGAATTAGAAGTCAGGCCCTAATCCCCTTTTCCCCATTTTCTCCGATTTTCTTCCCCTCCGCCGATTTATTTCTCTCTCTTTCAATCTTCCCCTCCGCCGGCGCCCCCCCTCCGCTGGGTCCTCCCCCTCCGCCTCCGCCACCGCAGTCTGCCGCTGCCGCTCCTATCCGCCGTCCGCCGTCCGCCGCTGCTCTCCTCTGCCCATCTCTCCGCCGTTGCTCTCCACCGCTGCTCTCCACCGTCAGCCCATCTCTCCGCCGATGCTCTCCACCGTCAGCCCATCTCTCCGACGCTGCTCTCCGACGTCCGTTGCCGTCAACCCGCCGCCTGCTGCCGATCCGTTGCCGTCGCCAGCCGTTGCCGTCGCCGACAGCCCTCCTTCAAGGTAATTTTGCTTTTTTTTAAATCTTTGTTTGTTTATGTCTAAAAGCTTGTATGTGTTTGATTATTGCGAATTATTTTTGGGTTTTTTCTCGGAATTATGTGTTTGTTTGTTTTATGTTGATTTGATGAGCCTGTGTTGCTCGGAATTATTGAATACATTCACAATGTGCATGTTTTCAATTATTAGTTAACTGGAACGTGTTGTGAGTGCTATTACTGAATCTGTAGTTTCTGTAAACGAGAGCATCTATGGAAATAAATTCATCACGTCTTCTCTCCTATGATTAATTTAAGGATTTTCTTCAAGTTAATCTTGAATTATCGGTTTACCCAAAATTCGCTCTTATATGATTATTTTTCTCCAAGTACTACTTTCTATAAACTTTCACCTCTCTTTGCTTGTGGATTCCTGGTTAGGTTTATCTAGCATCAGCAAAAGAGATTGACACATTAAACAACAACCCCACTCTCAACTTCTTTTCTTATGTTAAAATATAGTTATTTATCAGAAGAATGGAAAGAGCGGGGGAATAGGCATGAAGAAGATATTGCCACAAAGTTCTTGAATTTGGATTTTATCATGCTTCAGGTTCTATTACTCAGCCTAACTCCATCTTTATTACTTTTTTGTCTTGCATTAAATTGAATAAACACTGGATGATGTTTCCGATATTGAGCAATAATTGACGGCATGGAGACATTTTCAATATGCCTTGACACAGAGGCAAATGAGGTCTAAATGTTACAGTTTGGAGAATTAACCAATTTTGTTTTTTGTCGAACGGATAATGTAACATCAATTTATCTTCCGTCGGATGTCAATATAGTTTACTTGAAATAGACTTAAGGGGTGGTTGGGAGGCTAAGTCATGTGAAACGAAGTTTAATTTTGAGGTCAAAAAGCGGGAATTGAGTTAAATTGTGAAGAATACAGACTGGACAGATTTTAATGTAAATGTGCATGTGAAACTTGCTAAAAAGCAACCAGATACTGTGATGCATCCTAGTTGTGCCGGTCATCATTATTTAATTGCGGATTACCGTTACCCATCCCCTCTCATTACACAAGGCAATTTTGGGTAGTTGTAATTTTTTTTCCTTCCTTTCTGCTTGTTTTGTTTCAGTTGCCACAACAAGAAAACTGGTTCGACTGTGGCCTTTTTTTGCTTCATTATGCTGAACTTTTTCTGGAGCAGGCGTCAAACCTCAGTGCAACTAAATATCTTGACTTTGTAAGTTGTTCATCTCTTCTGGTACTTTGGACATAGATCAGGGGAAAATTGAATTTGTAAAATGATTCCTGCATTAAGTGATCTTCGACCAGTTGATTCTATTTTCGGAGTAGCTTTATTGGGATTAGTGTGGTCACTGTTCGTTCATTTTATAGTTCTCCTGGTCAATGAGTCAATAACGATTTAAAGCAATACCTGCATTATTTTGACTAAAATACGACCTCTGTTTATATTAGACCTTTATATTGTTATAGCATCGAACATTCATGTACATTTTCCATATTTATGGTATTACCACTGTATGTTCAACAATATGTTTTAAGTATATTTATTACCAAAACTTCTCTCTCTCTCCAGCTTAATGAGGATTGGTTCTTTCCTGCCGAGGTTTCTCTCAAAAAACGCGACCATATTAGAAAACTGATTCATAGAATAGTCGAAGACAATGCTCTGAACGATCCTCCGACCACTCGTGACAAATGTTATCAAAGTGGTACAGACGAGGACGACAGTGGTGTAAAGTTTGTTCATCAAACTGTTGCAAAAGATCAATTATGTCTTGGTATCAATTTAAACTCGTGTGATGACCTCGAAAATGTAATTGAGCAGAGAAATATTGACGAGTCAGTCATTATCGAAAATGTTCAGCCGTTGATGCCAGATAATCAGTTCAACACCATGAGTTTGCCGATCAAGGTAAACCCTCACAAACAAGCATTTATATTTCTATTTTCCATGCAGAGAAAACTTGGATAAAACAAAATATGCTCAAAGTTTGACTATACATAATTTTCAAACCATTTCATTTCTTGATTGTTATATCTCGAACAGGAAATACTCGACACATCAAGCAAACACGAAACTGAGAAACTAAGGCCTCCACGCCATTATAGCCTTCGTAGTTCGAGGAGAGAAGAAATAAAGAAGGTTGTTTCGGAGGAAGCTTCTAGAACTTGTTCTGGCGAGTCGAGTGTTGTAATTGATGTGCAGAATGAGGAGAATTGTGTTTGTGATACTCAAGTAAAGTACGAGAATTCTTCAATGTCGAGTGAGGATCTTTCGGCATGTGTTGTTGAGGATTCCGAAGAAGAAAGTGAGATAGAAATAGCCACCATCAGAAAGATCTTTTTATGTACTTTTTTAATTTATGTTTTGTGCTACCTTGATATTTAATCCCGTATAATTGGTTTTAATATTTTTGATATAAGTGTATTTTTTTTTTGTGTACAACTGCTGAATACAGGTTGAATTTGTTAATTGAAAAAATAAATAAACCAGAATTTATATATATATAAAAAAAACTTGCGACTAAAATACAAAATAGTCGCAAACTGAAACTGTAGTAACTAGCGACGAATAAACAAAACAAATCGTCGCAAATAAATCGTGGTCTTGCGACGAAAACGGACATTAGTCGCAAAGATTTTCGCAAACGTAGCGACGAAATAATCACAAAACGTCGCTTAATCTAGCGACGAAAATATAATTCGTCGCACAAGGTTGCGACTTATTATTTGTTCGTCGCAACTGGTAAGCGACGAAAGTAGAGGATCCGTCGCGAACATTTGAAAAACATTTTTTTCCAGAAAATACGAAAGTTGCGACGATTTATTACATTCGTCGCCAAATTTGGCGTCGAAAATGACTTTTCGTCGCAGACCTTGCGACGGTGCGTTTGGCGACGTTTTTTGTAGGATTTGGTGACGAAAAAAATTCGTCGCAAACAGTAAAAAAACGTCGCCAAATGTACATTTTCGTCGCCAAATTTCGTCGCCAGTCGACCATTTTGGCCTAGTGTTGTTCTTATCTGAAGATAATTCATCATACCTGAGTTCTGTTTGACAGACTGTTGCAACAGTTCCCTCGGTTCTGCTCATCGAAGAAGTACCACTGAATGCTACAAAGTTAGTGGTTTGGTCTTCTTTGTTATTCTCATCCTCATCACTGTTATCTTTATCACTTCAAACAGTGGTGAGTGACATCCTGTTTTTCTTCAATTTGTTTGTACACTCGGCCTGAATATGTCCAAAATCCATACACTCTCGACATTGTATTCTTCTAGACTTTGTATCATAAGAATAACCATTATTAGACAACTTTTTAAGACTTTGAAGATTAACAGACTTACCTGATTGAGAGGAATTTTCTCAATTTTCAATTTCTTGACGTAGCCTTTCAATGTTCTTTGTCATAATTGCTAAGGATTCTTCAACATTAAGGTAGGAAATGTTTGGCCTTGTGAGTTGCCATGGCAAGCTTCAGCTTGGAACGCCACATTCTTCACATTTTTCTTATCTCGGATATTTGCTCTAAAATTCATTTCTTGGGTTTGCAATTTACCCATGAGCTCATCTAGCTTTAGCGTGTTGATATCCCTCACTTCTTCGATTGCTGCAACTCTTTAAGCGAATCTTTCTGGTAATGAACGTAGTGCCTTTCTTACCAACTTTGTTTCCGAGTATTGTTCACCTAGTGCATAAGATTCATTTGAAATATCACACGGTTTAGCGTGAAAATCAGCAATCGTCTCGTCCTCCTCCATACGAAGACTTTCAGATCTTGTGGCTCGCATCTGCAGCTTAGATGTTTTAACAGTTAATGTGCCTCCGTACGTCTCTTGTAGGATCTCCCATGCCCTTTTTACTGATATACACGATGATATCAGTTTGAACTGATTGTCACCAACGCCACTGAAAATTGAGTTTATCGCCCTTGAGTTGTAACTGGCAAGTAATATCTCTTCATTAATCCATTTTCGTTCTGGTTTTACTGTCTCCATACCATCTGTTCCTTTAGCCATGGGCGGGGTCCAACCAGTCACGATAGCGAGCCAGGCTCGTTCATCAACAGACTTGATGAACATCTTCATCTTCGATTTCCAGTAAGACTAATTTGATCCATCTAAGAGAGGTGGTTGTTGATTGTAGATTATACACTCAATACATTTACTTTACGTGGATCTTTTGTTTAAATTTAATTATATTTGTGATTTAATTAATTGATTTTGTGTTTTATAGGTGAAAAATGAGAATTAGGTGTCCATGAAGGAAAAAGTATAAAAAAGAAAGGAAAAAGTTGCAAATAAGGAAATAAATCAAATTGGAAGAAGGAATCTCGTCACAACTTTGACAGTGTCCACCATTTCGACTATATCTCTCTCAGACAAACTCCAAATCAGCTGGTTTTGGCGGCATTGGAAAGCTAATTTCCAGGGAATCAATTCTTATTCACGCAACATTCCAAAATTGGGACTCCAACATGGCAAAAATCGAAGAACGAACCATGATGGGGGAAAGTGGTGGAAATTGATTCTTATTAGGTTTCAATTACTTCCTTATCAAGAAAACACTATAAAAGCAACAAGTCTCTACGAAATTTTACACCACAAAACGCGAGGAACAAAGATCAACGAAGACACAAGCATAGTTTTTCTTATTTTATTTATTTATTTTATTTTCTTTATCATAAGAACTACGAGTAGCTAAGTCTATATTTCTAAGGTCTTATTCAAACCCTATGTCGGATTTGTGAACCCAATTCTATGATTTTATGCAAGTATTAATTTAGATTGTTTCTTCTACTTGATTTATTAAGTGCATGAACTTGATCACTTTATGTGCTTTATTGTTATTGTTGAATGCATGAATCGGAAGATCGGTTTAACAATTAGAACTACGGTAGAAGAGCCTTTGTTGTGTTATCATAGGAATATAGTTAACCTCTTAGGTAGCCATTATTGAGATTTGAGCTTAATGCTTTGTTCTTGATTGAAATTGCGTACGAATACAGTAATTTAGTCTTGAATAATAGAATCATAATACACGCGGAAGCGGGTTATGATTAATTTAGCATCTCAGGTTAGTAATCCGAATTATTTGCATGCATAATTGAGGGAATTGGGGGATCAATAATCACATTAGGGAAGATAAAATCCTAGGATCGTTTACTTTGATAATCTTCGTGTTTATATATTTTTCTTGCTATTTTAATTTGCGTTTAATATTTTAGTGTAATTTAGTTAATCACCGGTTATTAGACTGTACATGGTGGACTTGAACATAGTTGTGAGAATCTAGCGCTTAGGATTAGACAATTGAATATTTCTCGTGTGATCGATATCCGGACATAAAAATCCATTATATTACTTGTACGATACGTGCACTTGCGTGTAGGTATTACTTGTACGATACGTGCACTTCACGATGAAACATATTTGCACGTAACAAAATAAATTAATTAATACCAAAAATCTCACTAAGTATATCTAGAGACAGGCTCTTGATGAAAATTGTTAGAATTTATTTCGTGCAAATATAAATTATTTGTGTTAAATTCAGTTTTTCGTTACTGTTGCGTGTAGTGTTGTGACAGTTCGTGAAACAGTTTGTAAAAAAACAGATATGAACGAGACACAAATTTAATATGGTTCAGATACAATTGTACCCTATATCCACGAGAATCTGCAAAAACGAATATTCAATATTTTAGTTTTACCGGCACAATATTAGGATTTAAATAATAAATTAAAGACTCCCTCTTTATCTTGACGCCGTTCTTATGCAAAATACTGAAAACTAGTAACTTCGATTGTGTCAGCCTCCTCTCCACTCGGTTGAACTCCCTTCAACTCTGAATCTCTTCAGTCGGCGGATCGATCTCCTCCTGAGATCTGTTTAAACCCCTCTCCCGAAGAAACCGATCTTTGTTTTGTATAGAAGAAGCAAATTTGTGATAATCTTTGAATCTTGGTGTCTTCACCACAAAGTCTTGAAGCCGATATATTTTCTATAAAAATCACGTATCACGATCGAGCAAAAAAACGAGAGCAAAATATTTTCTTTGCGGATTTTCTCTCGATAAAAAAGACACCAATAAAAACGAGAGTAAAGAAAATATCCTGTGTAAATTTTTCTCTCAAAGATGGCGTAAAAACTTTATGCTCGGATTGCTCTCCTTTTATATCCTACGGCACTAGATCCTTATACAAGGAAAAGTCAGAGACAAAAATATTAAAAATACTTAAGTCACGTAGGATTCTATATCTTAGAGACCCGTGATAAAATATCTATTAAAACTCTAGCAATATATATGACAATTATAATTAAAAGACCCGTGATAAAATATTTCTTCTTTGTAGCACGGTTCCAAGACTTGTGAACCAAGTCAGGTAGGATTTTAATTACTAGAAATTCAATAGGATTCTAACAATCTCCCCACTTGTCATATATTGCTTGAACTCATACACACCTGAAAAGGATAAAAATGTTATGGATACCAAAATGACTGTTACAAGAGTAAATAAGCCAAAACAACAAAACAAAAACAAGTGAAATTAAACATCCACTTAAGCATCAAAGAGTAGAACATCGTCTCCATCATAAGCTGGCCCAGCTGTTTCAGCGGCAGGTGTATCAACAACAGTTGTTAGCTGCAACTCCCATGTATCAGTGAAGAGGTAAATAACCTAGTCTAATAAAATTTATTTTACATAAATAAATACTCAATTAATGACAACTAAGAAACCAAGTAAAAGAAATTCCTTTATTTTTGTAATACTACACGGATGTGTATATCCGTAAGAAGGGTTACTTGGCCTATTACTTTATTAGTCTTACTTCTTGGTTTCACGCCAATTGAATCTCATTAGGATTCTAGCAAGTAATATCCTCAAAGATATTGGCCAAAGTTTTCCCATAGATTAATGTAAAATTTCAAAACTTTTTAATTTTGAGGTTTTTTAGGTTTCATAAATATTGTATTTTTTCAATGTTGTTTCGGAGTTAATTCTATAATTATTATTTTTTCTATTACGTTAGCCAAACTGCTATTATGTTTTGAAGAAAAACCCACGGTTTCCATTCAAGATTCACTGTGATCGAATTTTTTTTACAATTTTACAAGTATTATTAAATGTTATGCTTCAATAAAATTTGATCTATATTAAAGTAAAGTGGACTCTTACAAGTTGATTTATTCTCAATCACTAACATGTTGGTATTATTGAATTGAACTTTAATTGGTTGCTTTATTATTATAAAACTCAAAATTAACAAGATTAATTACTTTTATAAAAAGAGACTACAGTCAAATCTTCATCTTATGTTTCCACTTATATCCCTATATTTCTCTCTTATGCATTTGTTGATACAGTTTACTAGTCGAAACACCACTTCTCATAATTGTATTCTAAAAAGAAAGAAGA